TGTATGATTGTCTATATATTTGAGCCAAAAATATTATAAAACAAAAATAAAGTCATAATTTTTTCCTAAAATAACCTTTTTTTTAAGAAAAAGTCCATTATCAATGCTAAAAAGTTTACATCATTTAGAAAGTGCAAGTTTTTGCCTTTAATTTGATATACATATTACATATATTATGATTTGCTTTTGAGTTTTCAGAATTCAGTTATAATAAAAAATATAAATGTAAGAATGTGCAAATGCATATTGGAGTAAATTAAATAAGGCGAGTTAACGGATTTTTTTGGAAGGAGCACTGTTTTTGTTGCAAGCGAGAAATTTATTCTACTTAGTGAGGGTTATAACCCCTAACAGACAGACAGGTGTTCTCTGCAAAAGGTGTTCAGCTCCAATTCTTCGGCAACACAGAAAGGAGAATTCTACTCAGTGAGGGTCATAATCCCTAAGTTCCCTTTCCCAAGCGAGAAATTTATTTTACTTAGTGAGGGTTATAACCCCTAACAGACAGACAGGTGTTCTCTGCAAAAGGTTTTCAGCTCCGCTGCAACACGGAAAGAAGAATTCTACTTTGTAAGGGTTATGCTCCCTAAGCGCGGCCGAAGGCCGCCTACGCCGAAAGAAGTTCTGGGCAAAACAAACTATGATATCACCCACCCATGCCACTTGCTTGTAAATGCTTTTAAGTTTTTTATCACTGAATTCTTAAACCTCAAAAGTAGATCATAATAAAATATGTATATCAAATTAAAGGTAAGAACTTGCACTTTATAAATAGTGAATATGTCTTTAGCATTGATTATGCACTTTTTTCTAAAAAAGGTTATTTTATGAAAAAATTATAACATTTTATTTGTTTTTTAATATTTTTTATATATCAACTTAAAGATAGATTGTCTTTATTTTAACTTCATTACTTTTTTGATCGGTTACGTAGTTTAGTAAATATTAATATTTTAAATTATCGCAAACAAATTTTAACCTCATATCTTCTTTACTTTTTATTTGCGCAAATAATATTTAAATAGTTGAAATCAGCGTAAAAAGTACTATCGGTCTGCATTTTTAGTTTTCCCATAGCTGAACGGTTGGTTATCTTGATGTGTTCCAGAATTTACAAGTTCTCTCCAAGAGAACTGTCAATTTGCTCTCACAATTTTTGAGTGTACGATAATGTTTTGGTCTGCACGAACGCGATTTGGGCAAAAAAGGTGATAATTCGTACAAATTCGTAAAAATTTTTTGCTCGACGAACAAACCTATAGCTAATTACGTATTTTCTCAATTCTCTGGCTTCTTTTGCCTTTTGACAGTTTTACAGGTTTTAACCTAGAAAAGTTGGGGAACTATTATATACACTTAGGTCTCTTTTTATGCGGTACACGCGTTCCTCAGAACGCCGCATAAAAAAAATTCGCATAAAAAAGTTCTTTACTTTCATAATAAAACAAGGGATGCTTTCCAGAATTTTCAAAAACCGCATAAATTCAGATACTCCATGTAATAAATTCTAAAAATCCGCATAAAAATATCCAGTGAGGCATTATT